TATTCGGCACTATGCTTTCCTTGCGTCGCGTTTGCTGTATTCTGGTCTTTAGGCTACGCTTCTTTGCAATTCTGGTATTGTTGGTCCAGGACTGGCCTTCGATGGTGCTCTTAGTCTTTTTAATAGGACTGTGGAGACTGACCTTATGAGTAACCCTAGTGAGATCGCTGCCCCCAAACTCATGAAGAAATTGGCAGATATATATTTCACGAAGGTCACTGCATCTGCAGAATCCACTTTCTCCTTATCTCCGCGTCAGGTTGCCTTATGGAAGTCCCAACAGGGGGATCACTTTTCGGCCTGGTTGCGAGCGCTCCCGATATTAGGTTTGGGTCAGACTATGAATGGTAAGACTTACCGTTGTGTTCTTTGTTACCGGTTGGGTGTTCCTTTGTTCTCTGTTTCGACATCGTGTTTTGCTTGCTCAAAGGTTTTTTATTAGGATATTTATAGGGATCATGTAGTGTCTTGTGCTGGGATGGCGGGTATTAAATATCGGCACAACGTTGTTCGTGACACACTTGTTGATATTTGTTTTCGGTCTGGGATTTTTGCAAGAAAGGAGGTTAACGTTGGGTTGACTGGAGGGAACAACGGGGCTCTTCGACCAGCAGATGTGTTGCTTTATTCCTGGGATACAAGCCTTAATGTATTTATTGACTTGACGGGGTCTTCTCCTTTGACTCAATCTTGGTTGTCTGACTTCGTTCCTGGTCGTGTTGTGTCAGCTGCGGCTCAGCGGAAGCGGGACAAGTACGGGGTGCGTTACAGGGCTATTGGCTATGGTTTTCTTCCTTTCTCCTTTTCTTCATTGGGGGAATTAGAGAAGGATGTTGTTGCATTGATGAAGCAGGTTCAGGCGTTCTCTAGGACTCACGCACTACTAGAAAACAGCTAATCAACGACGGAAAAAATCCGTCAGAAAACCTTGAAATTCCATTGGAAATGCCCATTTCCGATGAAATTTTGTCGGAAAGCAGCATCGCATTACACTTTGTAGGAATTTCGCGATATGCCGTTGGAAATTCCGTCGGAATGGACCTTTCCGACGGATTATGTTTTATCGGAGTCAAGTTTGACTTAATTAGGAAGTCCGTCGCAAGGTTCCGACAGAAAATTCTGTCGCAACAAGCCAAGCTTCCGACGGAATTTTCCGTCGGAATATACCTTTTTCGACGGAAAATTCCGTCGGAATCTACTACCTTTCGCCGAAAATTTCCGTCGAAAGCTTTAATAGGAAAAAAAAAACCTACCCACCACCCCCACCATCAGCCCTAGCCTGAACCCACCCACCCACCTTACCTGAACCCACCCCCCTTACCTGAACCCACAGCCCCTGAACCCACCCCCTTTACTTGAACCCACAGCCCCTAACCCAAATCTACCCACAATCCGTATCCCACAACCCACCACCAAAACCACAACACACCACCACCGACACCACCACAGCACCACCGACACCACCACACACCACCACCATTCCAAAAATGAACCCAAAAAACTAAAATTAACACAAAAAAACCCAAAAAAAGGAATCAACCCCAGAAAAATGAAAATTCCCAAAAAAACCGTAAATTAACACCAAAAATACGAAAATTAACACAACATAATCAAAACATACCACACAAAAAATCAAAACCAGTAGATCTACTAATTAATTAGAATTTCATTAAAAACATTAAAAAAAACAATAATTAACCAACAAAATTAAAAGATATATATATATATATATATATATACACACACACAATCGTCTAATAAATTATATAAACTAACATTACAATTACATACAAAATTAACTAGATCTACACTTGAGACTGGTGGCTCGCGACGGTGGTTGAAGGCTTGGTTGTTGCTACGCCATTGTTGTTGCGGTGGATGTTGGTTGTCGGTCGTTGTCAACAGTGGTTGTGGTTGTTGACGGTGGTTGTGGTTGTTGTTGTTGACGGTAGCCGTTGTGGTTGTTGATTGTCTTGAGAAATGCAGGATGGAGAGACAGAAGAGGCGACAGAGAGAAGAAAACAGAAGAGGATAAGGGAAAGAAGGTAGAAGAAAACAGAGAGGAATGAGGAGAGGAGAAAAAAAGAGAAGAGGAAAGAAGATAGGAGAGAGAAAGAGAAGAAGAGAGGACAGAGAAATGAGGAAAGAGAGGGGAAAGAGAGGCGGAGTGTAAAGGGGGGGGGGTTAGGGTTAGGATTTTTTTTTTTTTTTTTTAAATCAAAATTCCGTCGGAAATGGTAAAAATCCGACGGAAATGTATATGTTCCGACGGATGTTTCTTCCTCGGAATTTACAGCTTCCGACGGAATATTCCGTCGAAAAATAATTTCCGAGGGAATATTTCGTCGGAAGCAGTAAATTCCGAGGGAAAAAAATTCCGTCGGAATATTTCCGAGGGATTTTCCGTCGTAACTTACCTTTTCTGACGGAATTTTCTGACAGACCCAAATTCCATCGGAAAACTCAAATTTTCCGACGGAAGTTATGTCCATCGGAACGATTTCGTCGGAAAACGATCTATTTCTAGTAGTGAGGATATTGGTGCTCGTGCAGCTGCTCACATCTTCAACAGGTTTGGGTTTGCTATAGCTAGAGGGGTGGGGGTCCAGATTGTATCTCAGCTCCCCGCTAATTTCTTGTAAATCGATTGACTTTGTAGGTTTTTGTTATTTTTCTACAATAATAATAATAATAATAATAATAATAATAATAATAATAATAATAATAATAATAATAATAATAATAATAATAATAACAACGATGTGGTACGTAGTAGTAATAATAAGAGACAATTATCTATAATTATAACAATAAATGATAATAAAATAAGTAGTAGTATAATAGTATATAGTAATAGCATTAGGAGTAATACATGGAGTAGTAGTAGTAGTAGGCTAGTACAATAGCATATATTAGTGTGTAGAAATAGGAGTAATATGTAGAGTAGTGTAGTAGTAATATATAGTGTAGTAGTATGGTAACAATAAAATCAAAATGGTTAAAATAATAATAAGGATTTAATAATAATAATACTTTACAATAACAAATTAACAATAATATGTATGTAATGGTAATTGATTAGGGGATTTTCCCCGCCCAGTAAATGTCTGCCACGTGGACCAATCAGGTCCTGCCATGTGTCCGCCACATGGACCTGACACGTGTCAAGCAGTAATTAGTCCACCTTGGACTAATCGCGCCACGCCACGTGGCCTGCTGACTGCCCATCAGGAAAAACGGCGACCAAGGCCCGATTTCCGAGGAAGGCCCAATCGTCCCTAGGTTGACCTAAACCTAATATTGGGCGCGCATCCCGAGGCTATAAATACAGTAATTAAGCCTCCATTTAAGACTATTCAGAAATAATTACTCTCACCTAGAGAAGGCTAAACACACGTGCTTTCGGATTGATAGACCTGACTTAGCAATTAATTGCACTTCCTAATCAGTCCTCCCCTAGAGGAACCAGATCACCCTTTACTTTCCGCACCTTTTTACTCCACATACAAGTACTAACTTGATCGTCGGAGGCGGAGCTCCCACCACCCGGAGTCTCCGTTGTTTTGTAGGTACAGGCGCAAGGATACCAGTCCCGGAATTGTAACTCTCCCGTAGGACATCAAAAAACCTCGAAACATTTTGGCGCCGTCTGTGGGGAGGGTACTTTCGAGATGGAATCACAATCTGTACTGAATCAAAGTGACAAGCGTCCCATGGACGATCCCTTGGATCAGACGGACCAGGACACTGACAATGAATTTGAAGTCGAGACTCATACGGCCTCTGACGGGACCTTAAGAGCTCGACGCACCCGTCCCTCCGAAAGGAAGGAACGGGAGGACTGCCTGGCTAGATCTAGTAAACCAGTCGGCCAGCCGCTTGATCAACAGCAGGTGGCCAAGGGATCTGCCCCCATCACCAGAAATGAACTCATGACCTACATGAATAGTTTCAAAGGGGAGATCCAGGAGCTTATGAACAAAAGAACGATTGTCCCACCAAAGAAACAGTCGGCCAGAAGACCCTCCCAGTCTGGGAGGAAGAAGCCCGTAAAAGGTCGGGAGGCGACTCCTAAACCCTAAGCCTAGGGAGTGGGAGCCACCAGTGATCGATCTAACTAAGTACCTCTTCCCCTCTCCAAGGAAGAGAAAGCTCATTCGTCATGTTCAGCCGGACGGGTCGAAGAAAATGTATTCTGATGCCCGAATGTTGCTAGAGCAGAAGAAGAATGACCGACTATCAAAGTCGGCCTCTACGTCTGATTTTCAAGACAGTCTCCACAATACCTCCTTGAGGTATTCAAAATCAAATTATGAGAGCCAGACAGGCGGTACCTCCTACCGGTCTGTCTCCCAGAAAAATCAAGCGGCCCCGTTTGAACCACCCCAACCATATGCGCCGCAACCTTAATATTTTATGCAGCCTACTCTGTTTGGAGGACAGGCGGCAAGAAATGTCTAACCTTTGGACTGGCAACTTAGGTTGCTTAGCCTTGGAGAACAGCCATCCGCCTTCTCCAAGGAGATAATTGAGGTTGCCCAGCCGGCCAAAGTGAAGAATGTGTTGGTAGGAGCCTATGATGGGACTACCAACCCTGAAGATCACCTTATGGCGTTCACCAACCTAATGTACCTTCAAGGGTTGGATGATCCCACATGGTGTAAATGTTTCCCGGCCACATTGAAGGGCATTTCCCAACAATGGTTCGGCAACTGGCCGACCGGTTGTGTTAACAATTTCAAGACCCTCGCTTACTTGTTCACCTCAAATTTGCGATGAACATCCCCGCTAAGAAGACGACCCTTGACCTAGGGACTATACAGCAGGGAGAGAAGGAGGGACTACGTTCCTACATCAGGCGGTTTAACCTGATGAAGATTTAGATACAGGGGCTGCCGGATGAGGTAGCCTATACAGATTTTTTCAGAGGACTTAAGGACGGGTCGAACTTCAAATTCGACCTTGTCAGGAAGAGGGTCACCACCCTCCAAGAAGCCATGATGGAGGCGGATGCCTATATTCAGGCAACCGACCTCTGTAATACTGGAAAGCAGTCGGACGACAAGAGGTCCGACAAAAGAGAGAGCCGACAAAAGCAGCCGGCAAGTAAAGAAGATAAAAAGAGAAAAGAAATTTCGGCAGCCGACTCCTCTGAACAGCCGTCCCAGAAAAAGAAAAAGGACTATAAACTATACTCTCCCAAGTATGAGTTCAACAAGGACAGTCATGCTATCCTTAATGAAATCAATGGCCGGATCACAATTGAGAAGCCGGCCGCCATGAAGGGTTCTATCAGCAATCGGAACCAAGATAAATACTATCACTATCATGAGGATATTGGTCATGAAACCAATGAATGTATCAGCCTTAAGTGTCTTCTGGACCGCCTAGCAGATAAAGGAGATCTTGACTCTTATGTCAATAAGTCCAAGGGGAAACAACCTCTCAAACAGAAACAGGCGGCCAAAAAGAAGCAACGGACGACCGACAATTCTAACACTGATGACACGCCAATTTATACCATAGCTGGCGGCTTCGCAGGAGGTGGTCCTACCATCCGTGCCAACAAAGATAACATCAAGCGGCTGGATATTAACTCCGTCGAGAAAGGACGGACCTCCAAAAGCTCATTCCCTGAGGTTGTGATTACTAAGAAAGACTTGGGAGGCGTTAGAGGGCCGCATGACGACCCTATTGTAATTGAATGCAAAGTGGCTAACCAAAGAGTCGATCAAATACTTATTGATACTGGAAGCTCATCTGATCTCATCAGTCATCGATGCTTGACCAAACTGAAGTACAAAACTGAAAGCATGCAACTTGTCTCCCATCCTTTAGTAGGATTTGGAGGAGGGGTCGTCCACCCAGTTGGACGGGTGGGTCTGCCTATCCGCCTGGGCGAGAAGGGTGAGGGCCGTCACATGGTGGTCCGGTTCTTAGTAGTTGAAGAGCTCTCGGCCTACAACATAATCTTGGGGCGACCCACCTTGAACAATTCCAAAGCTGTCATCATTCCATCTCTCATGTTGCTCAAGTTCGAGAAGGATGATGGAACAGTCGGCTCCCTAAGAGGAGACCAGAAGATGGCAAGAGAGTGTTTTCTCTTAGATATCAAACCCCCTGTGGCAACTGCTTGTCCTAGTGGAGAGAAAACTAACCTTGAGTAAATCAAGGATGATGCGCCTGCCCAAGTAGCAGGCGGCAAGAAGAGAAAGGCCGCCCACTTGGGGGCCGAGAGAAAAGAAAAACGATAGCAATCACTGGCCGAGGAGCGGTTAGACGAGTTCCGCCCTCAGCCGGCTGGTAAGCATGTGGACGTCGCCCTAGACGACTCACGTCCTACCCGAACAGTTAAAGTTGGGACGACTGCTCTTGCTGCACTTGGTGATGACTTTCACCAACTCTTGAAGGAATTCAAGGATATCTTCACATTTGAAGTACACGAGATTCCAGGTATAAGTCCAGACTTGGCAGTGCATAAATTAGTTGTGGATCTGAAAAAGAAGCCGGTCAGGAAAAAGAAGAGGAACCATGGCGAAGAAAGAAACCAGGCGGCCGCCGCCGAGGTTAAAAAATTACTTGATGCAGGGTTCATTCGGCAATGTTATTTCCCTGACTGGGTTGCAAACGTTGTACTTGTGAAAAAGCCGAATGGTACCTAGCGTATGTGTGTGGACTACACAGACTTGAACTAGGCGTGCCCCAAAGATAGTTATCCATTGCCCAAGATCGACAGTCTAGTCGACTCTACAGCCGGCCACGCCTTAATGAGTTTCATGGACGCCTACTCTAGTTTCCATCAGATTCCCCTGTGGAAGAAGGACCAAGAGAAGACGACCTTTGTCACAGATCAGGGCCTATACTGTTACACGGTCATGCCGTTTGGTTTGAAGAACGCCCCGGCAACCTTCCAGAGAATGATAAACACGGTCTTTTTTGACCAAATTGGGAGGAACGTCGAGGCGTACATAGATGATATGATTGTGAAGATTAAACTCAAAACGGACCATTTGGCTGACCTCCGAGAAACATTCACCACACTCAGGCGGCACCATGTCATGCTCAATCCCAAGAAGTGTGTTTTTGGAGTTGAGTCTTGGAAGTTTCTCGGATTTCTTATCAATCAAAGGGGCAAAGAGGCTAACCCCGAAAAAGTGCAGGCGGTCATAGACATGCAGTCGCCCCGCACTGTCCGAGAGGTCCAAGGGTGAACGGGTTGTCTGGCGGCCCTAGGGAGATTTCTTAGCCGGGCAGGCGACAAATGCCTTTACTTTTTTCAGGCAATAAAAAAGAAGGCTATGTTTGAATGGGGGCCGGATGCTGAGGCGGCCTTCCAAAAACTGAAGCAACATTTGCACTCGTTACCAAGGCTGGTCAGCCCCTTGCCTAAATAAGTGCTCTATATGTATCTAGCAATGTCTGACCATGCTCTAAGTGTCGTCCTCCTTGCTGAGAGAGAAGGCTGCCAGCTCCCAGTCTATTTTGTCAGCCATGTGTTGAAGAATGCCGCGTTAAGATACCCCCTAGTGGAAAAATTTGGCCTTGCCCTCTTCATGGCAGTTAGAAAATTGAAGCTTTACTTCTTGGCGCATCCAGTCGTAGTATACACAGACCAGCCAATCAAGCAGCCACTGACAACCATGGAGTCGTCAAGCCGAATGATCAAATGGGCAATAGAAATACAGAGCCTTGAAATTACATTCGAGCCAAGAAAAGCAGTGAAGGGGCAAGCATTTGCTTACTTTATTGTAGAGATGACTCAGCCTTCTGATTCTAAAATTCCAGACCAAGTCTTGAAAGTCTATGTGGACGGGAGTTCCACTATGAATGGTTGTGGTGCAGGCGTCATATGTTAGTCGCCAGAAGGTGACAGGTATGAGTATGCACTACGTTTTAACTTCCAAGCCTCGAACAACGAGGCGGAGTATGAAGCTTTACTGGCCGGTATCCGCATGTGCAAGGCGGCTGGGGCAAGGAAGGTAAAAGCCTGTTCTGACTCACAGTTGATAGTGAGCCAATACAACGGCGATTATGAAGCAACCCATCCGGCCATGATTAAATATTTGCAGGCGGTACGTTAGGCGACTGGGTCACTTGAAGAATTTCACCTAACTCAGGTACCTAGGTCCGAGAATAACCAGGCAGATGCTCTTTCAAAACTGGCATCCTCGGCTTCTTGTGACACTCTAAGGACCGTTTTCTGGGAAGTTATGGAGAAGCGAAGCATTGAGGAAGAGCCTATTGGAATCCTTGATAGAAGTTCGACCTGGATGGACCCTATCAGGGCATATTTAATAGCCGGCACGTTGCCGAGTGATCATTCCCAGGTGGCCCTACTGAAAAAACGGGCGTCCAACTTTGAGATGTGTAAAGGGGAACTCTTCAAGAAATCTTATCTTCAGCCCTTCCTGAAATGTGTTCCAAAAAAAGGACGAGAGGTCTTAGAAGATCTACACTCAGGGTACTGCGCTTCTCATGTAGGCGGTCGGTCGCTTGCTCAAAGAGCGAGGCGGCAAGGTTACTTCTGGCCTACTTTGGAAGCTGACGCCATGGAGATGGTTAAAAAATGTGACAAGTGCCAAAGGTTTGGCAAGTTAATCCATCGTCCGGCCACCGACCTCACAGCCATCCATAGTCCTATACCGTTTGGGATATCCTAGGGCCCTATACGCCTGCAACAGGCGGTAGGAGGTACATTTTGGTAGCAGTCGACTACTTCACTAAGTGGGTGGAGGCAGAAGCAGTTAAGGGTATCAAGACCAAGGACTTCATCTCCTTCATATGGAAGAATGTCATCACTCGATTTGGGGTACCCATGTCTATGGTTTTCGATAATGGTCCCCAGTTTGAGACGCTTGTTCTCAAAAATTGGCTGGGAGACCAAGGTATCTCGCACTGCTTTGCATCAGTCGGCCGACCACAAGCAAACGGCCAAGTAGAAGCTTTCAATAAAATCATCTCAGACGGTATCAAGAAGAAAATTGAACGAGCAGGCGGCCTATGGGCAGACGAACTACCGCATGTTCTCTGGGCCATTAGGACGACTTAAAAAGGGGCGACTGGAGAAACTCCATTCCTCCTAACTTATGAGGTAGAAGTTGTTGTACCAATTGAACATTACGAGCCGACTCTTCGCATAATGCTGTATGACGAAGAGGCAAATTGGGAGTCCATGCGCCTAGCATTGGATTCACTCCCAGAACGAAGGGGCAATGCAGGCCTGCGCCATGAAATCTACCGGCTGAGAATGACAAGGGCATATAACAAAAGGGTACACAGACGTCCACTCAAAGTGGGGGATTTTGTACTACGAAATATGGAAGCAGTCGGTAGGACCAATGAGTTAGGAAAGTTAACCCCCAACTGGGAAGGACCCTACCGAATCTATGAAGAGGTTAGGGACGACACTTACCGCCTGGAAACACCAGACAACCAACCCTTACCTCGAACCTGGAATGTAGATAATTTAAAGAAGTATTATTTTTGAATGATGTAATTGCCGAGAACAACTAATAAAACTTGCAAAAATTGCGTCATTTAGATTATAAATAAATAGAGAGGCATGCCGCCTGCTCCATTGGCAATCGGCTACTCTCCAGTTTGCACCAATTGAGGGGCATGTCGACTGGACAAAAGGTCAGCTACTCTCCATTTTCTTTACTTTGTACTGTTCAGAGAGGCATGCCGCCTGTAACTTTACAGTCGGCTACTCTCCTATACTTGTTCACCATGAACTAAACAATGCCTATGGCCGGATGATTAGCCCAGGCGCCAGGCCGACTGATCCTCTTTTAAAATTAAACTAATACGACCTGTCCCAACATCATAGCAGGCATCCGGCGACATCCATTCGGATGAGATTTGTCGCAGAGAGCAACTCCCTTTTGGGTGGAATATTGCTTTATAAACTAAAGTACACGACACCTAGAAGACTGTCCCCAAGGGCAACCACGTAGCCGTTTTGAGACAAGGATAACTCTAACACTAAATCAAACAAGTGCTAGCAGTTAACATCCGCGTCGGATGACCGCCTGTATTACTTGGGATAAGTACAGGCGGTACCTCTTGAGTAAATAGCCAACAAAAATTGGTGAATCAAGGGGATCAGCCGGCCTCCGCCGCCTGGTACCTCTACTACTCAAGCATGAAAGCTGACGAATGGGTAATCTCAAAGATTTCTCATAGTCACTCTCTCATACGTAGTATAGATCTAAGAAGGTATGATGAGTTCGCCTGTTTAAAGGCAAATAAGAACTCTCGCATCACTACTCCTACCAGGTTGACATCATTTAAGTAAATATCCAAGTAAGCCCTGGCGAATCAAGGGAACCATCCGGCCACCACCGTTTGGTTACCCTACTACTCAACCAGAAGAATGGAAACCAAAAAAGTTCGAAAGGCGATTGTTTTTTGGCAGACAGGGGCTCAAGAACTCTATTCCTACTTAAACAAACAGGCGGCCCGATTACAAGCGGCCTTTTCCCTTCTAAATCAAAGTTAGACAGACCTAACGTGTTTCCAAAAATGCGTTGGGGATCCGACTGGATACATGGCCGACTGGTCGCCAATCTGGAGCCAAGACAACAAGTCGTCCAGGGGCATAGGCAGCCGGTACCTGATAAACCTTGCTTGCAAAGATTCGAAAAATGGTGCATGTCTAAAAAGAAGACTACAAGTCGAAATATTCGGTATAACATTCAAACACATGTCAAGGACCCTCTATACTTGGCAAAAGTAAAGCATAAACAAGATTCAGTGATCAAAGACGACTAAAAAGTGGTTGCCAGGTTCATATATAAAACAGCCGGCCATGAAGACCGGCAAAACATTCATAACCCCGACCCCTTGGTCGGGTAAAGATACAAGGAAACAAACGGCGCGCAGGCCGGAGAAAAGTTTGAAAAAAAAAGCTTTAAGCATTGGGAGGGGCTTCGGAGTTAATTGTCGCCTGATCGAGCTCAATTACGGGCGCCGGATCCTTCAAGGCATCCTCTTTGTTCGGCTCGTTTTCAGGGGCAGGATCCTTTGATGCATCCACCTCCGTTGGCTAGTCGACCATCTCCTCATCCTCGCCTGAGCTGGAGCTGGCCGCCTCCTCCTCCTCTCTTTCATCCTCTTCAGCCGCCTACTGCATGATTCTTCTATAGTACTCTTCAGTACAGGCGGTGAACTTGGAATCCCATTCGGCATAGTTGGCTGTTGGGAAGAGGGACGACTAGGTCATTCTCATAATATTGGCTGAGTCCTCCATCATGGCCTGAGCTAAAGCCATCTTTTCAGTCTCAGCCTTGGCCTTGAGCTCTTTGGTGATGGCCGCCTCCTGCTTCTCTAGCCGCTCCTTGACCTTGTCCAAAGACTTCTGGAGATTTTCAGCCTTATGGGCAATGTTTTTAAGTGGCTGCAGCTCGTCCCGAAGACTCATGACCGTCTTCTCCAGCTCGTGGTTCTTTTTATTGGCCGCCTCCAACTTGTCTTTGATCTCCGAAGTGGCAGCCGCCTGATAATAAAGATATCAGTTGTTAAAATTTCATTTTAGGCAATTTGAAACATTGCCTTGTCAAAGTCAGAGGCGACCATGGCTTTGGCAGCTTTTACCTCTTTGTTTTTGGCGCTAATCGGCTTACGAAGGCCGTGTACACGGAGCATGGTCTGAAAAAAGAAGCACCAGGCGTCAGATTTGCAAAAACAGGCGGCAAGCAAAGTCATTCAACATTACATAAATGCTAAGTATACCTCAGAGAGGAGACCCATGATTCCGTCGAGGTCAAGGGTGCTGACTCCCTTGACCGTATCCCTCTCCTCTAGAGGGATGGCTTTTACCATAGATTTGGCCATTTGGACCAAGTTTGGTTCTTGGGGGCCGCCTGTAATTAAAAACAATAAGTTAAAACAAAGAAGAAGGAATATCAATGGAAAATGGAACAAGGATCGAGAGAGCTGGTTATACCTCTTGGAGGTCGGCCGTCCCTTGGGACTTATGTTTGTTTTCCCCCACTTTGTGGGGTGCACGGCTGTTTTTCAGCCGCCTGCTTCCTGACAGAGCCAGGCGTACTCCCAGCTGTCGTTTTCTGAACCTTTGAATCCGGTTGCTGGGAGGATGAAGGTTTGGACGAGCTCGCCTGACCGAAACGCAGGAAGTTAGCACTAGCAAAAGAAAAAGATTTTCATAAAAAGCTAGGTTTAGAGCTTACCTTGAAGGTCTCCTTGGCAGGAGAATCAGATGATGGCCGCTTGAGGCTCATGATAGAGGACCGAAGAAGAGCGGTCGCCTTCTTTGATGCAAAGATGTGGTCCATAGCTTCGGCTGAAAAAAGGCAACAACGAGTTAGTACAACTTGAAAAAATTAATCAAAGGATGCATATACAGGCATAAAAGGCCGGCTACCTCTAGGAGCCCGACTGCTTAGGCCACAGGCGGCTACGAAATACTCGTCGTAAAGCCATTTGAATTTGGGAATGCAGTTCAAAGGCACCTGCTCCCGTAACCCAGTAGTAGAGTTGGCCCTAATCTCTACTTTGAAGAGTCCTCGGTCAAGGATCTCTTCCTTGTCTGACGAGGAACAGGTGGCATGCTAGGACCGCCTGCAAGAAGAGGCAGATCCCTATTCCACCTATTGTACCGCTTGTTCAGGAGCTTGTTAGGACTGCTGACTAGGAGGAAAGTATTTCTCCAATCTTTCCACTTATTTTCTTTCCCCCTAGTCATCAAATAGCCTTTGTGGCTTGTTATTTGGTACCAGCCGGTACCGCTTTCTTTGGGGGTTCAGCTTAAATAGTTCATATGGGTGAATGCCTCAAAATTCGGCTCTACCCCATGCATCTCACACCCGGTTACATAGCCAAGGATGTTGAACCAAGAATTAGGGGCTAACTGCCATAGCCCCACCTCGTACCCATCGAGGATTTGTTGAACTGCCGGATGCAGGGGAAATCGAAGGCTGGCCTTAATGGCCGCCTCGTAGCAACCAAAACAGGCGTCCCCGTAACTAGACCCTGCGGGCCAGACGACTGCATCTTTGGCATTCGACATAGATAATTTAAAATCCGGACCCATCACATGGTCCGACAGGAAAGTCTCTATTAGCTCCTTCATGGCCTTGATTCGACCTTTTAGGACATGACAGTAATAAGGGGTATTCAACTCCCTACGGGAGGCGAATGGTTCTGACCAGTCATCCCCTTTTTCTGCCACATGAGATAATCTCGCCTCATGTAAGCGAGAATGTCTTTCTTTCGAGCTTAGAGAAAGACGACTTGAAGAACTAGATTCGGACTCACTATCAAAAGAGTCCGACTCCTCTCTTTCTGAAGGAGCCGACCCTTCCTCTTCAGTAAGAGCCGACTGTTGACCAGCTAAGTCAACAGAAAAATGGGAAGGGGCCACCTTAACCCCCTCCTCAGAGCCCCCTGTGACAGAGTCACCTGGGGTACCAGCGGTATCAGGCGTCCGGTCCGATAACTCACTAACTTGGACCCGGAATGAAGAGCCATCAGAGTTTTCAATCCTCTTTGTTCTTTTGGTTCTTGCCATACTGTCCTACATAGATACAAAGACAGTTGGATTCCGGGACTTGCGCAAAGATTGAAGTACCGCAGGGCAGTCGGCACCCCTAGTCCTAGACTCAGCCGTCCCTGGTGACCGGCTGATTGCTAACCTAGGCCGTGCCGGATGCTTTTGGGGTCTCATTTAAAAAAAAAAAAAAGAAAGAAAGGATAAAGAAACAAACGGTTACCTGAAACTTAAGTTATGAGAAGAAGCTTGGTCGAACAGGCGTCTAGCAAAAGCAGGCGGTTGGTAAAATCAGTCGTCCAGAAAATCAGAGCTCAAGTTCAGGGGTCCGAGAGTTCTCTTGCAAAGTTCGCAAAATGTGAACAAAAGACTTGGTCAACATGCCCTTATATAGGGTAGAATGAGAATGCGAAGGGTCACTTCCAAATTCGAAATAAGGCGGGAAAAAACTCTCGGCCTATCATAGGCCGACACTTGTAGCATGCCGTCACCTGTTGCAGGCCGACACCTGTCACAGGTGACATGTGACCAGTCACGTGCCACCTGTGAGGGGCAAATGATTAGGGGATTTTCCCCGCCCAGTCAATGTCTGCCACGTGGACTAATCAGGTCCTTCCATGTGTCCGCCACATGGACCTGACACGTGTCAAGCAGTAATTAGTCCACCTTGGACCAATCGCGCCACGCCACGTGGCCAGCTGACTGCCCATCAGGAAAAACGGCGACCAAGGCCCGGTTTCCGAGGAAGGCCCAATCGTCCCTAGGTTGACCTAAACCTAATATTGGGCGCGCATCCTGAGGCTATAAATACAGTAATTAAGCCTCCATTTAAGACTATTCAGAAATAATTACTCTCACCTAGAGAAGCCTAAACATACGTTTCGGATTGCTAGACCTGACTTAGCAATTAATTGCACTTCCTGATCAGTCCTCCCCTAGAGGAACCAGATCACCCTTTACTTTCCGCACCTTTTTACTCCACATACAAGTACTAACTTGATCATCGGAGGCGGAGCTCCCACCACCCGGAGTCTCCGTTGTTTTGCAGGTACAGGCGCAAGGATACCAGTCTCGGAATTGTAACTTTCCCGCAGGACATCAAAAAACCCCGAAACAGTGATAGTGTATAGTAGTGGTATTTAAATTAGTAGTACTACTATTATGACCCAGAAACTAGAAGAAGAATAACAACACTAGTAGTATCAAAAGGTAAGAAGCTTACGATTTTCAAGCAACGAAGGAAGGGTGGTGGCGTTACCTATGGGCGGCAGCGGTGACACCAGATGGTGGTAGAGGGGCAGCAGTGAGGCGGTGCTCGAGGTGAAGCTCACGGCCACAAAATGAAAGCTAAAAGAGGGCAAAAATGGAGGAAGGAGAAATGAGGAGAAGAGAATTTGGACAAAGAAGATGGAGTAACAACAATGGTCTCTATCCATGGTTGTATGTAACCTAAACTCATACACTATTACAACCATATTCTTTAATGTTGTTGGCCCAATAAATGCAGCTGGCCTAACAAAAGCTGCTGGCTTAATAAATGTAGCTGACCTAATAAATGCAGTTGGGAATAGTATTGAAGAAGGGTTGACTTTGATTATGGAAGGAGAAATATTTGGTACTCCGTAGTTTGGCTTGGAAACAAAATAAATTAATGGTTGAAAATCTGACAACTTTGACATGACTCGTATAATTAATTTCTTTATAAAGCGTAATTATAATAAAATTATCATTGTAAAATCATATATTGACTTAAATAAATACTTTTGTACAATAATAAAATATATAATATAAATATTTTGGAAAAATCCATAGTTAATAATTAGTAAACGTGTTTAAACTACGAGGTATTACAGTAATCTTTACCTTTGATTATTATGCATATGTCAAAAAAATAAAAAAACCCTTAACATCTTTGGTACAGGTATAAATTAAGATTCAAGTTTTTATAATTTCATTTTAATATTTGAGTTTATTTTTTTGGTAGATTTTGAATTAACATATAATTCGGTATAAAATTTTATAAAAGCCGTGCATGACACAATACTTAATCTAGTATCATTTCCATTGTATTAAAAGTTCATTTTCAAAACGAGGGACTAGTTGCCAAAAATTTGCAACGGACCTGATCCATTAATAAATTGGGGCAGGTTGAGGCTTTGTTTGATGGGGCTCCAACCCATTAAATTGCTGTCAATAATAAAAAGAAAAAAAAAAAACGGATGAACTTACGTCTCGCTCAGTCCTCCATTGAAGTGCACTCAACATTGCACTTCACGTTCTCCATCGAGGCCTTCTAGTACTTGTATCCCCCATTGAAGCAGCTTCTGAGGTAAGTTTTTGTTTCTTTTTGTAGTCATCATATCAATTTCACAATTTAGGGTTCATCTTTGATGTAATCTAATATAATCGTCACTGCAGTAATTGTAGGATTCGAAAATGTGAACTCTTAGTTATAAATACTAAGATTATGAAAGATCATAACCAGCGATTATGTTGCTAGGAAACATAATTATGAGCCTAATTTGATAGTTGAATCACATATTCCTAAAATTATGTGATTTTTCGAGTCATGTTTGATAATTTAAACAAATTTGGTTGCTAATGTTTGCACAACCCTTTAATGTTAGGATTGAACTATGGAATTAGACCTCTCCTTCCTGGGCTCAGCACGGCCGCCCCTCCTGCCCTGTCTCAGGGACGGGCCTGCTCTGTTAGTTGGTGTTCGAGTTAAAAAACCCGGGTTTTTAAAAAAACCCGGCGTTTTTAAATGTGTTGCAACTCCACAGACTGGTATGAATAGCGTTGATTTTGTATATTTGATTATGTCATGATTATTTCAATTTCTGTATTTTGATTTTGTTAATTGAATATCAGCTTACACAAGCAATGTATCCCGAAATCCAAATATAGCTAAGCTACAAGCCGGCTATCTCTTCCCTGAGGTCTCTCTCTTTTAAAAATGTTTATATCTATGTCGTTTCAATGTTACGGATTGCTCTAAATTGTACTTGTACTCTCAGTATAGTCCACAAAATGCCTACTTGATCATGATCATTTGAAAATACAGGTTGCCCGAAGAAGAGCTGCGCACATGGCCAAATATCCGGATGCTCAAGTGATAAGCCTTGGAATTGGTGACACTACTGAGCCCATTCCTGATGTCATTACATCTGCTATGGCTAAGGTAAACTGTTTCATATGTTTGGTTATTGTACTATTGTAACTCTATGATTTCACTCTTTGATTTATATTAATTTCCACTTCCATTCTATATTTTCTAAATAATCTTTCCTCTTTGTTCACATGGTTTTTGTGTGTATAAAACTTGTAGCGAGCACATGATCTTTCAACACTAGAAGGCTATAGCGGTTATGGAGCTGAACAAGGTGAAAAGGTATGTGTTGTGTTGACGTGTGATTTTTTTGTTTCCTTCATTACTTTGTTCCCTATGTTAATTTTGCATGCTAAATCATGTTTGAGGCTGTTTAGATGTATGAGTATGTTGGATATTTACATGGTATATTTAATTTGTAACTCAACTTTCACTATCCTATTGGCTGTCATTGGAGCCGGCCTTGTGAAGGCTAGGGCCTCCGACACAACTTTACATATATCGAATTACCGAGAGTAAAGACAGAACCTAAATGGCCCTTAGGATAGAGTGTAAAGATGATACCGAAAGGATCTAAATGGCCCTTAGGAGAAAGTGTAAAGATGGTAGCAAAAAATAGGTTATCTACTTTGTGTGGGAAGTCTTGCTTTTTCCATTTATTTTGGAATTTTCACAAGTATTTTTGTTGGGGCAAGAAGTTGTGGCAAGATGCTCTTATGGAAATTATGTGATGATTATGGTTAGGATAGAATGCGTGCATCTACGATAACTACAATCTGTGAGATGGGATTACTTATTTGGCGATTTAGTGGACTAAGGCTGTTATAGTTTATAAGTGCTCCTTGATTTTGGTGATTTTGTACTCTTTCCTCCACAAACAGAAGTGGAGGATTGTGGGTTTTGATAGAAACACGAGTAGATAAATTGGCTGATGGCAGGGCTTAACTGAAAGGTGAACCATTGATGAAATTTTTTGATCAGAAAGGATTGTACATTTAAACCTTAGGTGTACTTAGGTGGAATGTTGGGGGTCTAAATTAAACATGGCTTCAACTCTTCCATATATCTTAAGCAGACATGTTAGAGACATGCCATCTCAACAATGGATATGTGATTTAAAAAAAAAAACTTAACACTTCAGTTTTGACCACGACACCTCAATTATTTTCGATCCACTTGTTTTTGAAGTAAAGCTATAGGAAAGTGAAAGGAATATTATGTGATATATGGTAAAATTGTGTGCATATGTATGACTTAACCTAAGCAAACATGCAAAATTATGTATAAAGTCAAGAGTGTGTTTCTTGAATGCCATGTCCTTGAATCCATGTCTAATTCTAAGACAGAGTCTGAGAATATTTTTAACCTCGACATGTGTGACATTTGGTATACTTGGAAATGGATCAATATAAGTTCAGATAAACCAAAGCATTAATTGCTTGCATTGATGAGCCGGTGGTTTAGGCCACCTATCAGATATGCTTCATCGTTTGCTAGGATGCCTTCCTTGTTTCAGCTCTTCAGAGCAGCGCATCATTGGCTTCTTGCTTAGGAGCTGAGTTTCTGACTAGCCCTGGTTGCTTAAGATGTTGCTAGGACTAAAGAAATGGTACAAATGCAATTACAGCTAGGGAGACCAGGAATGGATCATTGTTCTCTCTTCTTGGAGGCCACTTTGGTGTTTTGACTTTGCTCTTACTTTGCACCCATTTAATTTTCATATCCCTATAGCTTCAAGGTTGTGAGACTTTCACGATTTTTGATGATATTATTGCAATGTAATGGGTTTTAAAAGCTGTAAATGCAAATGGAGTTGATAAGTTTTGTCCAGTGAAGTGTAACATGCATTACATGATTTTAATACTCCCTCTATTTTAATTAGATGCATCACTTTCTATGTATGGATGTTTTGATTCAGATGCATTACTTTTTTTCTTTTTAATTAATAAATTCTCCGTATCTCTCTTATATCACATGGGTCTTTCTCTCTCTCTCTCTCTCTCTCTCTCATCCCCAAAAGTTGCATAGGATTCTGTAATTTCAAAAGTGATGCATTTAAAAAAGACAAGAATTAAATTTTGAGTTTTATGACTGTCATGTGTTTTATTGGGTCTCCTTATGTAGATGTTTGAAGTGAAGCATTGCTTATTTACATGTATTGTGCATCTTTTTCAAGTACATTATTGACCGAATTTTTCGATGTTGCATAATTTTCTTGTTACCTTTATTATATTTTTATTGTATGTATGAAAGATGGCTAACAATGCTTATGTTTTTAGAAAGTAAGAGCTGCGGTTGCTTCAGCATTTTATGGTAGCCTTGGTATTGAAGAAGGTGATATATTTGTCTCAGATGGAGCTAAGTGTGATATAGCGCGCCTACAGGTATACTCTATGTAATCATAAGACTGGTTTTTGATGAATTATCAGATGTGTTTCTCTATAGTACTTATCAGTGTGTATCAATACACCCTTTGTCCTAAATAAATTCATTGTCTCTATCCTTATAATCTTGGATTTATCACTATTTTACTCCCTTTATATTAGCCGTTTCCACCTCGTTGTTCCGTTTAAGTGAGGGTTTGTTTGCAAATTCAATCATGATTTATTACTAATTGTAGGGAATGTGATATATTTTTTTTGTACTTTGGGAAATGTATATACTTTAGAAACAAGAAGAACGATAAAATGGGAAAACCACTCATACACAACCAATTGATGTGGCAACAAATCTATAAAATTCCTTCTATATTTCGGAGGTAGGCCGTCTCAACTTTTTTGGTTGTTATGAAGCTGGAAAAAATTGAAGGTTTTATCTTTTTACATATAGGTGACATTTCAACTTGTGGATTAGTTTTTTCATTTCTCAATCCCAATGGTGCTCAAATGTTCTTTGCTTGCTCCTTTTGGTTGTGTGGGTGTGGGGGGATTTTGAAGTTGACTGTGGTTGTATAGGCCTGAGTAGCCCAAGTTCTCTCCTACTCTTAAATAACTCTTTAATGACTTATGTACCATTACCTTTTATTCAATGGCAGATGCTTTTTGGATCAGATGTCACAATGGCTGTACAAGACCCATCGTACCCGGTATGTTATGCTTTGGTGGATAATTTTAAGTTTGCATCATCTCTTTTCATGTTGTTGATGAGAATGGCTTGTAAGTGGCTTTTTACTACATTCGTTTTTACTCATTATTCGTAAGGGTCTATCATATCTCCCCATTATGAAAAAATGTCGATCATACCAATTGATTCATTTGGGAATTGTTTGTATTGCGAAGTCGTGAGAAGATCATTGAACCTTACAATTTAGGGGAAGGGGTTGTAATAAGGTTTCTGCAAAGGAGATTATTGTCTCATCAAGTCTCACCATAAAAGACCAAATTTGCAGATGTTACTTTTTGGTTAATTTTTTATTCACAATGCAGTAGGGCATCACCTATCCACTCAACGTGGGGAAACCTGAACTTGACATACTAAGGATTGACTAAGAGCTTTTCCTTGATTTTATGTATGGTGGCGTATGGCCAATTCTTAATTGATTTAATTACCTTAATGGATGATACATCTTTCTTTACTACATTAATGTCTCTTAGTTGAATTATCTATGATATTGTGGCTTCATATACATTTTTCCAGCTGGTGGGGTCTTGGCTTCTAATATGGGTTATGGGCTCTTCATTCACGACCATGCAATTTTTTTTTTCTATGAATAGTTTATTTAAATTCCAGGTTTTAAAAATTTAAACAGAAAGAGGAATGTCCATTGAAACCGAGAATAACAAAAAGGTTTGAATTTACCATCAATGATAGTCATCTAATTTAATTTTTTGTAAGAATTGTTATACAGAAAAAAGAGAGAAAAGTCATAAGAGAGGATGGCTGCCACTGCTATGTGTGGGAAGCTAGTTTCCTGAAAATTTTCTGGCACTTGTGGAATAGATGGAAGTGGTGTATTCTAAAGAGCTGCTGGCTGCACATCTGACTGTTTCCACTGTGCCTCTTCTAGGGAAATAGTTTTGTGTTTGATTGTCGTTCTGTAATACCATAAGATCCTCTTATTTCTAATTCCATGATTGTACATGTCATTATTTTTGTTGCGCCTTTCTTTTTGTGCAAAGTAATGGATATTTATTTAGAGTTGAATGTCAGATATTTTATTGTGTACTTTGCATATTGCATCCTTTTGGTGCCCCTCTGAGGGGTTTTTTTTTTTTTTCTTTTCTTTTTTGTTTTTTTTTTTATGATAATAAGTTGATTGGCTCTTGCATTTTACCAATTAGTCATTTGTAGACTTAAGAATTAAAGTTTTCCTTGAGTTTGGTCATCTATTAGTGCAATCTCCATCCTTGAGTGTATGTCCATGTTGATTTTGGGATATGTTAAGGATCATAGGCAAAGGGTGAGGATTTAACCAATAGCGTGTTGGTGTGTTGGGATTAGAAATATATGATTAGGTGATTTTTTTTATTTTTTTTTTATCTATCTAAAAATCTTGTCTAGGGACAGAAGGAATTTATTCCTTGATTCATATTTTAAATTAACTCTTATGAACATGTTTTTTTTTTTTTTGGTTTGCAGGCATATGTGGATTCAAGTGTTATAATGGGCCAGACAGGACAATATCAGAAGGATTCAGAGAAGTATGGTAAAATTGAGTACATGAGGTGTAATCCAGAGAATGGCTTCTTTCCAGATTTGTCTGCTGTTGGAAAGACGGAGATTATTTTTTTCTGTTCACCAAACAATCCTACTGGTGCTTCTGCGACTAGAGACCAACTAACCAAATTGGTGCAATTTGCCAAGGACAATGGGTCAATCATTGTTTATGATTCTGCATATGCAATGTATATTTCAGATGACAGCCCACGCTCAATTTATGAAATTCCTGGAGCCAAGGAGGTATGCATTAAGCATATGTGAAATAAAAGCACTTGTTCTTTAGAAGTTGGTTGCTCTTTTGTTCTCGGAACTAGTATACGCTTATCATTACTAGTTGATACCAATCTATGCTGCACATAAAGGGAAGCACAGATAAAAATTGAAGTAATAATTACATGTTTTTATAGTGCTTCCCCTTCACTGAACAACATTTAATTCAGTATAACGGAGAATATTTTTTTTTATAAGATAGGAAAAGTTCAAAAATTTGGAAGCTCAAAGATTGACTTTTGTTTTAAACTTTTGACTCCTTTTCTTTTGGCTATGTCTTGTGCTCTCTGCATTTCCCCATCCTGAGTTTGATTGGCTTCTTGAATCTTTTTCCTCCTGCCTCCTTTTCTTTCTAACTATATGATGAATACACATATATACTCTCAGAACAAAACATTAGCAAGAAATTGAAAAAAAAAAAAGGAATCATGTTCACTAGTAAAAGACAACATAAAGCTATCAAAAGATTACATGAAACCCATGACTTGCTACTTGCCCGTATAAGATAACACGATGAAATAATAACACAGTGGCAGGTGGGTGTAAAAATGCGGGTCCCTCACCGCATCCACCCCCTGTAGGAGCGAGTATGGGTCCAACTTTGGCGGGTAAGTGGGCGGTTATGGGTACAAAAGTCAAACCCGGCGTGGGTAATGGATAGGTGGTGGTTTTGATGCCATACATGCCCAATACTCGCCTGACCCGCCGAGTTACCCACTAACTTACTACTAATTTTTCTGTAAACTTTTGTGTTTGTAATGATATAGGAATACTTTTATTGTTTATGTATGATATGCTATTAAATTATGTATTCACAACAATTTAGAGATGGCATTATGACATGTTCTATAGGAAATTTATTATACAAATGTTGTTAGGCTAGCGGGTAGTGGATATCCACATAGGTGGTGGATCGGGTGTGGCTGTCATGCCCAATACTCGCCTGACCCGCCGTGTTACCCACTAACTTACTACTAATTTTTCTGTAATCTTTTGTATTTGTAACGATATAGGAATACTTTTATTGTTTATGTATGATATGCTATTAGATTACGTATTCACAGCAATTTAGAGATGGCATTATGACATGTTCTATAGGAAATTTATTATACAAATGTTGTTAGGCTAGCGGGTAGTGGATATCCACATAGGTGGTGGATCGGGTATGGTTGTTGAAATTTTACCCATCGCGGGTGGCGGGTATAACAATTTTGGTGGGTATGGGGGAGTGGTTACCTGCGTCCGCACCCGCATTGCCCAATTGCCATCCCTAGACCTAATAAAATGACTTTTTCCATTATCCTAACATTGCACCATGGGAAGAGGCACAAGTTCTAAGAAAGTGTATAAATGGTGAGGGAAGGCTACAAAAGCCATGTGAAACACCTAAAATCTAGTCTGAAAAGAGATGTTGAGTTTCCTGTAAAAAAAAAATGGTGTTTTTTTCTCTTTTTAGAAACTTTTATAAAAAGTAATTGGTGAAAAATTTAGGGAGTAGAAGTATATAAATAGTTGTGAAACTCTAAAAACAAACCATTTATGCCATTTTCACATCAGCTTATTTTTTCTTTATAATCACCACTTCTTTTTCTTTTGTCCACCACTCTTTCACGTAAATCATCAGTTGTCTATTCTCCATTTTCACTTTTCTCAACCTGCATTTTCCCTCTCTTCAATTTCTATTTTATGCTTTTATCTCTTTACAACCACAATTCACTCCACCAATTATTAGAGTTATTGCAAGTTTGTTGGATATTTGGATATAAGATTCCTAAGATAATTTCATTTTCTACAAATTCAAAGTTTGTTCTTTGAAATATAAGTAGTGGATAGCTAAGAAGCTAAAAAAAGCAAAAATTCAATACTAAAATCATATGCAAGAAGAAAAAGTACAAATTTAAAACCTACTCCCTCCATTTCTAAATAATAGTCGATTTGACACGCATGCCAATGTACTAGTTTGACCTTAAATATATATAATTAAATGTTGATAAAAATATAAAAAAGAGTTAATATTGTGAAACTTTATATTATTATTATCTTATTAACAATATATTTCATAATAATTTTTTTTCTTATACAGTACTAAAAAACAATGGTCAAAATTAGTATATGAAGTTAAGCGTGTCAATTATTTAGGTGCGGAGGGAGTATGAACTAATTTTTATTTTCAAAGCAGAATTTACTTAATTTTCATATAGTACTATCTTTTGAACAATGACGTGCTATTTAACTTTCATATACACTAACTCGTTTTTTTTCCTAGAAATTATTTTATTATCCTCAACAACCTATGTTAGTTTTCTCTAGAAAGATATTTGACTTTTCTTACATGAACTCTTCCATGTTGGTTTATAATTATTCTTGTAAGGCCACTGACTTGATATTTTTTTTTTGTAAACCTATGTTATTTTCTCAATACATATATTATGTATAATAATTTCTTAGGACCTGTTCACTTCATGTTATCTTTGCTTTAGTTAAATTATTTTTATTAAACTTATATTATGTTTACTGAATTGAAATTATTTTAACTGAATCGAAATTACTTTTGCGAACTTAAATTATTTTTACTGATTCTCTATTATATTTTTTCTTTAAAGTTACTTATTTTTACCAAACTAAAATAATTTATACTGAATATTATTCTTACAATTAAAGTACTAATAAACATTTCTTAAATGAAGTGTAAATAGAATATGTTATTCACTCAAATATTATTAAAAGTAGTTTTACTAAATTTTCTTAGGAAACTATGTTATTCAGATTTTTTGAACACTGTTGTGTTATTGTTCTCTTATAAGCATTGATGATAGAAAATCATGTTATTTTGCAAACATATATAGTAGTACAATTTATGATATTTTCTTTTCGTTTTTCTTTTTCTTTTTTTTTTTTTTATTTTTTTTTTTATTTTTTTTTTATAGATCTCTAATATGTTACTCCTTCTGTTTCGTATATAATATATTGTTTGTAAAAGGTATTAAAGGTGATTGTCGATTTGTGTTTTCTTTATAATAGTACTTCATATATAATAGAGAGCCCAAATTTTATTTTTATTCCTTAAGGCCTCCATAATGGGCTCCTAGGTCCTTAACTTAGAAAAAACTTGGATGTGGATGATATCGTTTTAGGGATTGAGTTTTTGGATGAGGAGCCCATTATGGTGGCAGCATGGTGGTCGATGGCCTTGCCTAGGTCGACCCAAAGTGACTTTGACAAACCTCCCCCACCAAAATGAGCTTGACGTCCTCGTTAAAGATTAAGAAGGTAGATTGTCACTCGATCTATGCTTCTCAAGCACAACGCCTTCACTTAATCCGGGCTTTACCCCATTCTCATTGATAGGAGGTTGCTAGCCACTAAGTTAACCTCGATAATACTCTCTAGTATCATCTTTTGGACTATGACTTTCCTTTACTCAGAACTTGTCGTGCCTCTCACGACTTGCCTTATTAACACTAAATTGGGCTATCTCGCAGCACCAACGTGCACTAGGCCGCATCATAAGTCCTTTTAAATAACCCTTGTCCAATATTCCCTTTCAAAGCCGGCACGGGACTCCTTGGACTTGCTTTCATTCTCTACGAAGGCATTCTTATAGGGTTGCTCCATCCCTATGGAGCTTCTTCTGAGATGGTTAACATCTCTCCTAAAGGTCACCCCTTGCTCGGGTTGGCACCTCTTTGGGTTAGAGTGATGGCACACCTTTGCCATACACTTGCTTGGAAGTGCTCATGTGCCCGGGAATCCACATGTGAGCCATATCACCAAGACTTCTGTTAGCTTTATGCTAACCTCAACTTTGTTGGCAGCAATCGTCATCGTTTTCCAACTGACTCACAATCATTCACATTATTTGCTAGTCCATAGACCTACTCATTTTCAGAGTAATCCTTACCATGGTATCTCTTCTTTGATGAGTACATTCAACCATTCTCATCTTTCCATGGAGGTGGTGTAAGCAAGGTCCCACCTTACTCCACCCATTTTATGAACATGTTCTGAACTATCCTTCAAGCTTGACCCCTCTAGTCATAAAAATGCTCATGGTTATAAGGATTCCTTTGTTTATTCAAACCCTTATAGACTATCACTCGAACAATCCATCTGATCATAACAATGCTAGGTGATCATAGTCAAGACCACCCTCTTGACATCCCAAATCACACATACATGGAGCATATTTCCAAGGCTATTTGCATAGCATCAATGATTGTGCTACTCCCAGCAACATTTGTGGCATCCCCACAATTGTTCGACTATAATAGTTAGCCAGGTTTGATCAGTCAAGGACTCATCCTACCCGGTTAAAAGATCATTCACGTGGCATAAATTTGAAGGTTTCGAACTTTGCTCATCCCAAGGCGCACAAGCTGTCTTGCTTGCTACCGTAGGCCCAATCAATACATCACTGACCTTCTTAGGTCATCAAAGGCTCTCCCACCTTTGATTTGGGCTCTTTGTGCAAGGATTACAAACAACTAGCCGCAAAAACTTCATTCTTAACCTGCAATCATCTCCGAGCACATCCCTTAAGCAAGGCAATGGCACCTCTTGGCCTTGCTCCACGGGTTATCCATGGATTTGCTATACCTAACCCTTCTCAAGGGTGATTCCCAATCCGGCATGAGAACCATTCTCACTTTGCCCGAAAGTCTTGCCGTGGGTGCAACGTTCTGGTTGCTCAACGCCATTTCCTCTAATCCAAGAGGTTCCCAAGGTTCAATCTTGACATTCAGATGACCATGGCACTAAGCGGCCATGCGCCTAACTACTTGGGACTTGCGTTGCTTTTCTTAGCTTGCTCACCTCTCCAAGCTAAGCTTGCAAAGTTAAACGACTTTGTTGTTAGGTTCCATCGGGAAAGGTCTATTGCCTTATCGTAAGCATCGTTCCTTCGACATCCCCACCCATCACTTTAAGAATCGGGCGTAACCCCTAGTCTAAATGCCAACTTTTGTAGGGTATCCCCTATTTCAATCGGAATTCTCAAAGTTTTAAGTGTGATTAGCAAGAAACTTTGTTGCTTTTAAGGACTTATTGCCCGCATCCCGCAATATTACAATTGCATAGTTTCAAGTCAGTATTTATAGAGTGGTGTGACACCCCGTGCACATATCCGGCTTAATTCAGTCTGTCGATTAAGCTAGTGAGTTATTCATAACGCACTTTGACCATGAAAACAAGCAATGTAATGAACCAAAAGCATACTTCTCATTAATACGATAATTTACATAATGCGTATTTACATAGGAAGCAAAACATAAACCCAACGAAAATGAAAGGACATAACTGTAAGCAACAACTAATATTAATAGGTAGAAATCCTCACAAAGGATACTCTTGGCCTTTAAGGAGCGAAGGGACCGAATTCGGGCTTGAAGCGGGCATACTCCGGAGTTGTTAGATTGTACTCAGGCGACGTACTGGTAGGGTTGTACTCCGGTGAGGGAATCACCGTGTTCCCCTCATCGTCGTTGAAACAATAGCCCTTCCAACTAGCCGAGCCCTCGGACTTGGCCGTAACATGAAAAATTGGGAGAATTGCTTATAATTTTCTTAAATAATTCCTCCGTTTCACCAAAATTGCATCACTTAGATATGTGCATTATTCACATACTCTGCTTTGACTAACTTTTATGATTAAGGAAAATATTGTTAGATTTGCCTCAATTTATACTTTTACAATATCATGCATTGGCAATCGTGAAATGAGAAGTGTTGCAATTTTCGTAAAACAGAGGAAGGATACCTGTGAATTTTGGTGTTTGGAAATAGGAAAAAGGTGATCAGATTACAAAAGTGGGACTAGGAAAATTTGGACCTAAGAGTATTTTCTAATTAGCATGGTTTCTGTTTGTACTTCTTATTCCCTTCTTCCTAAATTTGTTCTGGAGTCACATAGGATTGTTTTTCAAGGCCTTAAAAGATATCTTGTTTTTAATATTCTTCTATGAAAATGAAGAAGTTAATTCAGGATGAAAATCCCTTGAGAGCAGAACATCTCTCTTTGCTCGTCTCCTACATTTAATGTGTTTTTGGTAAAAGAATTTCATCTGACCAGTAGGCTTCTAGTATCTGCATGGTTTCTATGCCTGATTATTACAATCACTTAAATTAGATATCTTAATTTGGACTTGCATGCAGAAATTGTTAACATATTTTGTTCATGGCAAGTGTAGGTTGCTATTGAGACAGCATCGTTTTCCAAGTATGCGGGATTCACTGGTGTTCGTCTTGGCTGGACTGTTGTGCCAAAAGAACTCTTATTTTCAGATGGATTTCCCGTGGCAAAGGACTTTAATCGCATTGTCAGTACTTGCTTCAATGGTGCTTCCAACATATCCCAAGCCGGTGGTCTAGCTTGCCTTTCTCCAGAAGGCCTCCAGGTCAGTTCCGTTGCTTTCAATTTACGGAGTACAGATTATAGGACTGTTGCTTCAATCTATCTTTTGTAGTAAGATATTCCTAATCTATCTTTTGTAGTAAGATATTCCTACATGTTCTTCAAAACAATCTGGCGAGTTGGCTCAGCTTGAGATTCTTCCTGTTTACTAATAGTTCTATGGGTAGAATCCCTTTCACTCAATCTTTTCCCTTCACGACAACTTTTCTCAATGGTTAAAATTGTTAATTTCTGCTCCCTCCTTTATTTAATTGACCACATTTCTATTTTTGATTGTCCCAAAAAAACAATCCACTTCCAAATTTAGTTTAATACTCCCTCCGATCCTATGTCCTTCCCATTTTTACTGAGCACGCTTTGCCAATGCATTACTTTGACCACAAATATCTATAGTTGCATGTTAGTAAAACAAATTAACAATTGAATACTAATAAATTACTCACTGAGACGAATCAAATAAAATCCAACATTACTATTTTATGTTTAATAGTCTGAGAGTTTTGAGAAACAGAGTAGTTGAACATGTTATGGTTGTGACATTGTGCTTGAACCTAATGAATATGACTGTTCTCTTCATCTTTTAAGAATAAAATCAGTAAAAATAAGCAAAGCTCAATAAGAATAAGTTTAGTTCATCTAGAGAACAAGATTAATTTTTTTGTAGTTTGTCCTTCACTATTTCTGTTTATATAGCATATAAGATCAATAAATAAAGTCTATAGTGTTCAAACCTGAGGTCGCAGGCTAATTAGCTAAACTTCTCTTCTCACCATGCTTGTATATTTTCAAGTCTTTGTATGTAAATGAAGTATATGTAAACCCTTTTACTGAGGAGATCTCCAAACTGTGATAAGTATGTTAGATATTGCAAGAAGTTCATCCATCCACACACTGCTTGTATACGTGCCTTACACAGCTCAGCTTTCTTTGGATTGTACTTGTAGTCTTTCGAATGGTCGCCGGTATATTTGTAGTTTGTCCTACATTAAAAAGCCGAGAATTCAAGTTTGAACATTTTGCAGGCAATGAAGCAAGTCATTGGTTTCTATAAAGAAAATACTAACATAATAGTGGATACATTCAAGTCCCTTGGTTTTAACGTATATGGGGGCACAAATGCGCCATATGTGTGGGTGCACTTTCCTGGTCGAAGTTCTTGGGATGTTTTCAGTGAAATTCTTGAAAAGACTCATGTGGTAACCACGCCTGGTAGTGGATTTGGACCTGGAGGTGAAGGTTTTGTCCGTGTTAGTGCCTTTGGTCACCGGGAAAATATTCTGGAAGCCTGCAGAAGATTCAAACAGTTGTACAAGTGATATGCTTGAACCATATTTTTTGCTCATAGGGCTGTTAGTTTGAGCAGTGTTGGCCATCATATCTTCTATTTAGTAAGGAATTTAATAACTTAAAATTGTTTTCTTTTTCCCTTGCCTTTTTTTTTTTTTTTTTTTTTTTTTTTTGGTTTACGTTGATGAATTTTTGCACATTTCATGATTTAGTAGAAGCTAAGGTTGGGGTCAGATCTGCTTGAGTCTTAACAATTTGTAAATTACCTTATTGAATGGCATAGCAAATTAATCACCCTCACTCTTCCAAAATGCCTTCTCTTTTGTATAGTTTAAGGAGTTTACTGAACCCTCAAAAGCTTTGAAATAGAGTTTCTTTGATATAACGTACGCTTTTGAGAGAGGGCCTTTACATTGCTCAAGCCTCCGAATCAAGAAAATTCAAATAGAAACAGATGCATTGTCTTTGCAGATCATGCTTGAAACCATGAGCAAAGTTCACCACGAGTTAGCAGCTGTAATTCATGAAGTTGCAAGTGTTATAACAGAGTTTGATGTGGCTGAACAAAGTCACATAGCAAGGGAGAACAACCATATTGCTCACTCTTTGGCTACTTACGGAATGACCATGGCTGTTGGTCACAAAGCACACTTCCCTGGCCCCTGATTTTGTCAAACATTTCTATGAGAAGGAAATAATCCCGAAACTACAGGTGAGTACAGCTCCAGTTTTGCTCCATCTGAAGCAGGCCCTTCCACGAAGTAATTTGCTGCTGTTCGTTGCTGGAGGGTTCTTCTATGGTCCTTTATACTATAAGCTTTATTCTAAGTCTACTTCCTCTCCTGTAAATCCTAGGAAAGGTAGAGTAGTTTTTTTATCCTCAATTCTAATAGTATCATGGTGCCTTTTTTGATGCACATCTCTGATATGATGTCTATCCATGTAATTAGCAGTAATCGTTCTAAGTTTGCTTGCAACTTGGATAGGGATGAGGAATTTGATGTTCATTTGATGTATATAGCCTTAGTCTAATTAAGTAAAATGTCTCTTTCTTGCATAAAAATAAAAAGTACGCCTTTGAGGGAATATTTTCGTTGTAATCCGAAAGAGCAAGGGAGGAAGAAGACACTGGTTAGTTTGGATTAGAGTGTTTCAAGTTATATCAAGTCAATTAGTTGAATTAATTATTCTGGTCATCTTAGGCTTATACTTGGCAAAAGGTTAGAGCAACTGCAGCGATACATGAAATGTACCTGCTTGCAATTAATGCACAAATATAGAGCTATAAGCTTGCTAGTGTGGAAGAAATAGTATGTAGCTAGCTCAAACTACATAGCTGGTTGGAGCGGGGTTGTTTCACGGATTGCAAGTGCTAGGTAGCCTAAGCAAACTCTTATTTCTATGTATAACCGTCTTGATTTTTAGTTTTCATATATTATTAGTTTTATTATTTTTAATAATACGTAGCATCAGTTATTTAATTACAATATTGCAATGAAAAATGCACAATAAAAATGACTAAAAATGAATAACCTTAGAGTTACAAAATAATCATATATATATAGGGTCGGGATCCGGTGAGAACCACCCTCTATGTGAGAACCTATCCCTTATGTGAGGAAAAATCTCAGCCATTAGATTGTAATAAATCCAACAGCTGAGATTAATGATATAAACCTTCCCTAACAACCACGCTTAACTGTTTTGAATCTGCTCTGCTCTCTCTCCACCACGAAGCTTCAATTTCTGCTCTGCTCTCTCTCCACCACGAAGCTTCAAGGTTTTATCAATGGCGTCTAATTAAAATTTTAAACTCTACAATTTCTCTCTCCTCTTTTTGTTCACGAGTATCAATTTTCATAAATTATTGAGGTTTATAATTCTCTTAGTTTTGTAAAATTTGTAAATTCAATGATCTTAGTTTAATCTTAGCATCAAAATTTACAAAATATTTTTCAATTACATGTTAATTTTAGTGCTTGAGAATTTCAAATTGTTCAGTTCTGATTATTACCGAATTACATAAATTATTTTTGTTAAAATTTTGGATAATTTTTGTTAAAATATTCGATTATATTCGTTAAAATTCAATGAGAAATTTTCGATTTGAGTATTTAAGAACTATTAATTGCCTGTTAATCTTATTATGTCCAGTTGAATAAGCTCAATTTTCGATTTGAGTATTTTAATTGAAAGTATGTAAATTGAGCATATATAATTAAGATGACCAAAAAGAATTAAAATATTGTTGTGTTCTTGTTGTTGCTGCTAGGATATTTAGTATTGTTAGTGGTTGTGCTTCCTAGATTGAGCCCTTGTGTGTGTTCTGATTTCAGGAACTGATTCAGTTCTAATTTTAGATTCTGAAATTACTGTGTGTGTGTGTGTGTGAGAGAGAGAGAGATAGAGAGAGAGAGAGAGAGTGAGTGAGTGTAAGAGTGTGTGTGTAAGTGTGTGTGTGTGTGTGTGTGTGTGTAAGAGTGTGTGTATGTGTGAGTGACTGTAAGAGTGTATGTCATACTTTGTAGATCATAGTCTACCTTCTACTATTCAACCCCTTATTCTGCCCCCCTAGTACTGCTCCCTAACTGCTGCCACCCTTCTACTGCTCCCCCTCTTCTCTTATTATGTTTTCTATTTTACAGTGTTATTGACTTGTTATATGGTTGCCCTTCTCTCTTTGAACTTCATGCCATGGAGCATTGGAGATGGTGTTGCGGTACCCTTAGTTCCTTTTGGTGCTAGTTTTCTGTTTTGTGAGATTGTAGAGAGGATATCTATCTGTGGCTTTATGTGCTCTTTTGTTTGTCTTCTAATGTGTTTTGACATTAGATCTAATGTAGAGAGCAAATATTAAGATATGTGTAGGCAAAATAAACTTAAAATGAGCAAACACAAAAAAAAAAAAAAAAAAAAAAGAGGAAATATAAAAATGAGCAAATGAGCAAAATAAGTTGTGTTCCATGTTCCTGTTTAGTCTTGAATTTACTTTTGATTATTATCGAATTCCAAAGCTGTGTTGTTGTGGTATGATCGTTCTTGTGTTCTTATTTTAAATTTGAGTATCATTGTTGCGTTCTTGTTGCTGTTGCTAGGATAGTTTGTTTTACTGGGGTTGTGCTTCCTAAATACTTATTTGCTCATTTGTCAAATGAGCATTGAGTTATTTACTCATTTGACAATGAACATTCAATTATTTGCTCATTTGACAAAAATCAAAGAATTGTTTGCTTATTTCACAAATGAGCATTGAGTTCCTTGGTCTGCTTGCCTACACACAAGCCCCACCCCTTCTTCTTGGTCTGTTTCCTGCACACCAACCACACTCCCTTCTTCTACTTCCCTGCACAAACCTATCCCCCCTGCCCCCTCATCTTTCTGCTTGCAGTTCTGCTTTTTGAAACTGATTTCAGTTCTAATTTTAGATTATGAAATTATTGTGTGTGTGTGTGTGTGTGAGTGAGTGAGTGTAAGAGTGTATGTATAAGTGTGTGTGTTTGCTTCTGGCCGTGTATATTCTTATTTAAGAATCTGATTTCAGTTCTAATTATTGAGAGTGTGTGTGTAAGTGTGTTTAAGGGGGTGCATATTCACTTGTTACTATTTCGTGGAATTGTTAATGACTTGTTATTTCTATTATGTTTAATGATAGAAATGATGAGGAACAACGAACAACTTGACAGTCATTCTAGTACCATCACAAATGTGCCAACTACTCCTACAATAGTAGTTTCTCCTAAAGTAGCACCTTTGCTCACTTCTGGAGGAACAAAAAAATGGCTTCCAATATGCCCCAATGAGTTGAAACCAGCTATAGGGATGAAGTTTAATAATCTTGAAGAGGGCCTTGAATTTTATAAAAGTTACGCATTTGCTGCTGGATTCAACACAAGAAAGTCTACAGCTAAAAGACAAAGAAGAAACAAAGAATTGAAATCACAGTATATCTTATGCAATAAGGAAGGATAGATACAAAGAGAAAAGAAAGTCTACTGTTGAAAAAGATTTAAATAACAAGGAAGGAGAAAGCAATGAAGAAAAAGTTTCAATCAAAAGGAAGAGACTCATTACTCGTGTTGGGTGCAAGCTAAGGCACATATTGTCATAAATCATTGTGATGATAACAAATTCATAGTGTCACAATTTCATGAGGGACATACTCATGCATTTTATACACCTAGTTGCAATCTCTTCCAAAAAGAAGGAAGGAAAATGAACATATTGCACAAAAAAATAATTGTGAATAATTTTAAGGTAACACTTTCAAAGTCTCTTATATTTCATGAATTCTCTATATGTTCTAATAAAAGCTGTTTTGTTCATTTGACAAACTGTTTTGTTCTTTAAATAGGTGAATATTGGTCCCGTTACAACTTTTCGAATGATGAAGGAAATTGTTGGAGGATAGTATAACATTGGTGCATCTAAGCAAGATTTCAAAAAATTTCATAGAGATTTAAAAGCATACATTCAAGGAAGCGATGCTCAAATGTTCGTGGATAACTTTACCAACAAAAAGCTAATGTGGAGCGCTTTTTTCTTTGATTTTGAGATGGATGAAGATTATTGCCTTTGTAGAGCATTGTGGGCAGACCCCCTTTGTAAAAAGTGTTATGCTCTATTTGGTGATATGGTATACTTTGATACCACATACCAAACCAATAGGTAATTCATAATAATCACAATTCATTTCTATGGCTATGGCTTAACTTAATGACTTTGTTTTAAATGAACTTAGTATAATTGTTTGCTTAGTTGAATGTGAAAAGTGAATATCCCCATAAGTCTAATATTCTTTGATAAGAGTATGTATGTGGGCATTGAATTGCATGTTCATTTGACAAATGAGCATTGAATTTTTTGCTCATTTGACAAATGAGCAAAGAATTGTTTGCTTATTTCACAAATGAGCATTGAGTTATTTGCTCATTTGACAAATAAGCATTCAATTATTTGCTCATTTGACAGAAGAGCAAAGAATTGTTTGCTTATTTCACAAATGAGCATCGAGTTATTTGCTCATTTGACAAATGAGCAATCAATTATTTGTTCATTTGTCAAATGAGCATTGAATTATTTTCTCATTTAAAATTTAATATGTATGTGTAAACAGGTACAACATGGTGTTTACTCCATTTACAGGGGTTGACCATCATAAGAGATGCATTACTTTTGCAGCTGGTTTCATAGCAAAGAAAGATATTGTGTCATTTGAGTGACTGTTCAGATCATTTCTCAACGCAATGGGTGGGAATGAACCTAATTGTATGATCGCGGATCAGGATCCAGCAATGAAAATTGCTGTTATAGG